ATTTACATGTGCACTTTTTTCTTATGTCGATTTATGAACTGTATACATTGTGAGTGGTGAGTCATTGGGTTGGCAGGAATGTTTGACATGCCTTGGATGCCAGTTACCCAACTCCTGGCGCATTCCTGACACCAGTGGGCGCTCTCCGGCTGCATAATTACCGTTAATGTTCTCGTGGGTGGGCGTCTGCAATGTTGTGACATTCCATCTGGTTTTTTGAACTCCTCTCTGGAATGTGCACACGCTGTAATTACAGTGTGTACAGCTTAACCAACTAAAGCACATAATTATATGTGTACGTGTCACAAATTTGATGAGCAGATGTAGCTGGTTCTGTGGGTAAACATTATCTGGTTAAGCAATTTAGTAATTTGAAAAGTTACGAATCCCAATTTAATGTTTGAAATGTCACTTTCAAATGCACTGTCGGCCAGTTTAATCGTAAGCAGTATTTAAACTCTTGTGCATCTTCCAATATGGAATTCTCGGTTGATAGGAAATATTTGGACGCATTCAGGATTGTGCAGCCTAGCCATTGTTACTTAATAAGGCAATAAAAGTGTGAAGGAGCTGTTTAAAATACAAAATATAAATATAGGGCTACATTGTTTGAAAGCAGATAGGGCTTTGGCAATGATAATGGACCTCACCATTATTCCCATTCATACCTCTTTTGTTACCCAGATAATGACTAACGTGGCCGCTTCTCTTCGCATTTATAAACAAAAATATCTTTTTGGGAGTTCAGATCCACCACGAGAATGCTCAAAGTAAAAAAAAAATGCGTCAGTGAGGGCGGCAAACAAATCTAGCGATTTGATGATGTCATAATACGGCTCTTGTTCCCCCAGAGTTTCTTGACCTTGCAGCCGTAATAGGGGTTTTATTGCACAAGAACAGAGGGAAAAAAAGGTAAAGTAAGTTAGAGGTCATTCTCGGCAAATGACCGCGGCCATCTGCCTGAAATTCATCAGGACCTTACTCTGGTCCAACTTTATTAAACGATGCAGTGTTGATCAACAATATTGATGGAAAAGCAATTTCAAGTCGCTCTCACTGTCCAAATGCTTTTTATTCACAGTTAAGTGTGAGCAAGCACAGCATTCACGCATGTGGGCGCATTCACCCCAAAATAATGAAACAGTCGCATAATTGCTGAGCCATGGTGTGATGTCATCAAAACAGGCTTCTATTGGATGCTCCTGACTACTTTCGTTTTCAGTTTGCCTTTAGTTTTTACCAACTAACTTGTTTTCAATATACCTAAATTTCATAAAAATTCCAATTGTGAATTACCAATGTGATTGATCTTTAAAACCAGTGACATGTTGTACTGGTAGATTTATTGGTTGTTCAAAGCCCTCATTACAGGCTCTTGACCAATAGGAATTGGTAAATTACCACCATTTTTTAATATGAATATCAACTACCACATTCATGTCCATGTAAAGGCAGGGTCTACATACAAGTTTCAATAAGGTGCTCCTTTTAACCTGTATTTGTTTTGCAATACACTACTAGATTTAAAGAATACTGCTATACTGGTGCTGTTAGTCAGCAGCATAGTGATGGATTAAGGGTACTTCGAAAGTTCCTCGAAAAAAAGTGCCCAGAGAGTTGGGGTCAGTCATTCCCCAAACCCACAATGAATTGAGATTTTCAGGTGACTCAGAAACTGTATACACACATTGCGTTAATGGTTTGTTGTTCCCAGAATAACATACATGAATGCCAGAGATACATTGATATGACATTACCATTGTTGTCAGTGCGTCACCACTCAAAACTTCGAAGTATATTTATGCACATGTACAATGTAGGCCTTTACATGGTGGGCCGTTTATTGGAAGCCTGCATTTCTTGGGGAGTGTTGCCCAAAAGTGGCCTTCACACTCAAACCAACCAGTGCTATCCAACATTGTACAGTATATTCTCTACATGCACATGCACATACACAACTATTACCCAGAGTAGGGATCAGCCGATGATCGGATTGGACATCATATTGGGGCGAAGTGCGGCAACTTCAGCTAAACAGCGGATCGCCAAATTTAACCCTCCTTGCCTATATGAGTATCAATGTTAAATTGAAAAAAGAGGAACAAACTCTGCACTCAGTTTTCATGAACGCAAATGTCATATTTTTATTTAAGCATGAATAAAAACGGTGTTTTTCATTTGGTGAGATAAATGAACAGTTAAACCATGGCTAAACCTATATAAAGTATCCCCGAAAATTACATCTTCGAGATCTGTGCCATAGCAACTCGCAGACCCAAGGAGCAGTCAGTGTACATGTTGACCATTTTCATTGACCACCACGAAAAAAGCCAGGGAACTACACCGCGTGTGGCACCACGAGGTGTTGTGTGACCGGTCTGAAGGTACATGTGGCCTGCGATTTAGTCTATATACTCAATGCGTGCTGGACACACGACACGCACCTGTGCCGTTGGCATGATGAAGACACTAACGTGAGTGGCAAAGCCACGAACCGAGCATGGTGCACCGGTACCATGCGCGCCTTGATTAAAGGCTAGCCGTGATTCAGCCCCAGGTTCTGTGTGTCTATTCTGCATGTACTATACCGTACATGTATGCAGTTCGTGCCTTAGGTTTGCATACAACGGAGCACTATCGGTATCGTGTGAGTGGCGATATGATGTACACAATTCTCTCAACTCAGTGACAGTAAAGGCAAAAAAACTAATCCTATTACCGATAATGTTTAAACTGACATAAATTTTAAGGGAGTACGCAGGTTTTGCATTGTTATGAGCAGGCCTACATGTATGTATATGCATCCTGTTAAGGTTGCATTTTCAGTAAAAAATATCGGATAGGATTGGACATCAGCCGATCTTCCAATTAAAACCTTGGAAATCGGATTGGCAGTTAAAACCTACATCGGTTGATCCCTAACCCAGAGTATTGATGTTATTAATTAAGCATACATATATGCAACTGGATACTGTCATTTGAGCATTCTGCACCGTTTGTGCCCCCCTTTCCAATACTGTATATCCATGGCAAATTGTATGTAGATTTGACTGTGATATACCTGAGCTCCCTGTGACAAAACCACATGTCCATTTTTTCCTACAGTAACTTGCTTTGAACTTCAGTCAACTGGATTATGCTTAGTATGAATATTGTTACATGTACACTCTAAACTCTGCACAGAAAAATCAAACAAACACAAGGAGAAAAATAGCAGAGTTGACCCGTTGTATCAGCAAGCTTTTTTTCCCCATTCTGTTCAGGAAATAATTTGTACCTTGCCCCACCAGGGCTTTGTTCAATTTATCACGGGTAAATAGTGTGATAATGAGGATGTTGTCATTGAGGAACGTGTGAATATGTGTCTTTGTCTGGGAAAAGGGTAAAAGATGGGCAAACAATGGACTGAGATGTGTGAGGGAAGCTACTTTAGGCTGACCTAGGCTGAGGTGCTGCATGGTGTTTTCCAAGTTTGGTGATAACTTCAACATCAGGGAGTCAAAAATTGAATTCCTGTAGAATTCAAGTGACTTGAACAAATGGACGTTGATTGATCCACTGTGCACAAGTACAATTCATGTTCTGCATACAGTATACGATAGCATTGACCAATGCAGTAATTCCATGCCCCACCTGCAGTATTGCTATGTGATTGTACTGTTGATGAAGTGGCTTTTTGTCATACACACTGTGGTACTACATGTACATTCAATATCTGGAGACAAGATTTCTTAACAGTCTTAAATTAATTTTGGGGGGGGGTAGGGTTGAAATTGTTACAAAGGCAACTACCATACATTTACATAAACATTTATTTGCAGCAAAACAGCTGTGCGTATGAATTGAGGTTAAAACCAAAATGTAATCCAAGTCTTGCAAAATCTTCTTCTGACAGAGTTATTAAACCATAGCCCTCCAAAAGTGACAAAAACTGAACGGGAATGTACCCTCGTTCCTTCCGAATTAATGAAACTATATGTACATGTAGAGGCTTGCATAATAACACCATAGTGTAGATTTTGAGAGAGTGAAGGTCTGTCCAAAGACTTACAATAATACAGAAAGCAAGTTCATTAAAAGTGCACCTCAACAAATTTAAATGCTGCGTCAATTACTATAGCTGATAAGGTGTTTTACATGCAAAGTGCACACCTGTGCTCATGTACAGTAAAACAAAACATGCGCTTGAGTTAAAAATGCAATTACTGTGAATGATAGGCCTATGTACATGTACTTAAAATTCCCAGCCAGAGTGGCAAGGAAATGCATCAGGATTTATGTGTAGCGTGTTTTTCTAACATAACTGAGAGTGCAGTCGCCCCATGGATTACACAGGCAATGTGTGACGCTCAGGTGTTTATGTGTCTCTGAGAACTATTGTGGTAATGAGTGTGGATTACAAAGCTCGATGGGATTCTGTTACACTTGCATTTTTGTCTCCAAGACAAAGAAGAACATTAAAATGGCAGTTTTGTTGCCATTGAAAACGTGTTATTCTTTAATTAAGGTAGAATATAAAAATGTGCATCAAGTTATGTAATGTACAACTGAACAGTATACACGCGGTGCATTGTACAGTGTACATATGTGAAAGTCATTGTTTGAAAGTGAAGTGCATTTGAAAAATCACATTAAATGAGAGTATTGGAATGTTCGTTGTTAAGCAGAAAAAGGCACAACAAATATGGTCTTTTCCTTTGGTTCAAATTCAGGTAATTTTGAGTATATCTGTAACTGCTTGATATTTCAGGAAGAGAACATGGAAAGAATGAGTGCCATACATTGCTGGCACCTGAAATAGTTTGCATAATCATCTTTGGATTTAAATGTACATATAACAAAGTGGTAATTATGGTCATTCTGTACCCGTAGTTTCTCTTGGATGAATATTTGATTGTCAGTGTTCTTTCCAAGTTTGTCATGTGTACACCTCGTGAAAGTCAGTTTTTTTTCCCCTCATTGTAAAAGTCATGAATCTCTCCTTTTTTTCTTATTCTCAGGTATCTTGTAGACAATGGGGCCAATGTTGCAGCTGTTAATAATGAGGGGGAAATCCCCTTGGACCTGGCTGAAGAGGAGGACATGGAAGAGTATCTACAAAACATCATTGACAAGCTGGGTAAGGGGAGGTCACAGGGTCACTGGAGTAGGGCTTGTGGGGTGGGCGGAGTGTAAAAATGTAAAAGAAGGTGGATTGCAGATGGAGTGCATTAAATCAAAATGTAGGAAGCAACAAGGTAAAATTATGAGATTTTGTAATGAAAATTAAAACAAACATTTAAAATAATGGGTTTGTTTGGATTTTAACATTGGAAGTTGTAAAATCTCCACAAAAAAATGTAAAATTACTTTGGTTCACAGGTCTTGATGTTGAAAATGCCAGGAATGAGGAAGAACAACGCATGTTGACTGATGCCAACCAGTGGCTCAACACGAAAAATATTAAAGAGAAGCGACATCCAAAGTCTGGTGCCACAGCACTCCACGTGGCCGCTGCCAAAGGTTATATAAAAGTTATGAGGTGAGACTTTCCAGGTGCCAGGTTACCTTCTCAACACTTACTAGATTTTAATTCAGTCATTTCCGGTGCTCTTTGACAACATTGTCAAAACAAGATGAGAAAATAAAATTTTGTATTGAACCATTTTCCTGGTTACGCGCTGGTAGTCACATATTCTTTTAACAGATTAAATTGTCCCAATGTGTCCTGTGTCCACAGTTATTGGTTTCATATGCAACAATTTCATAAATACAGATATCTTTTTTAAGGGAAAAAGTTATCTCCTCTGCTTGAAAGCTGTTATTAGGTTCATAGTGAATGTACACTATCTTAAAACAGTGAAGACTTTTGTAACTACCTCAACAAAATTTATTTTGAGGCTACCGGAAAATATAGGATATTTCTGTTTCCCTGCCTGCCCTCCCCAATGCTTGCATTTTAAATATATATAATTTAGATTCTGTGTTCTGTTAATCTTTTCTGTTCCTGCAGTATTCTTATACAAGCCGGCGCCAACGTTGACGAAATAGACAACGATGGGTGGACGCCACTCCACGCCGCATCGCACTGGGGGCAGAAGGAGGCTGTGGAATCACTAGTGGAGAATATGTGCGACATGGACCACAAAAACAAACTTGTAGGTGACATTTCACTTGGTAACCTGACTGATCGTGGCACAGTGTGGAATGGGACAGGAGTGACCTGTATGCCTTTGACTAACACATTGAATCTCCAACTCCTCAGGCATTGTGTATCTGAATCCTTGGAAATGTCCAATAATCGGGAATCCAGTGATGTCTTCTTCACACCAAAGCTTTCAAGGAGTATCAAAAACCCATTGTAAAGTAATAGTCAGTGGGCTTTACTTTGAGTGATCTTGTCCAATTCTCCACCACCTCTTGGTGGATTTGTCAGGAGAAGGGTAATTGTTCAGGGCCACCGGCCTTGCGAAAATGCCTGAAGCCTCATTCCAGTCATGGATTGGCAACTAAGGTGTCTGACCTCCGTTTCCAATCCCAGTCCCTTACCAGGGAGACTGTTAAAATCTTCAACAATCACTTCCAAGTTAGCCTGCACGTACGCATTACCAAAGGAAGATGGTCAACATATTGATATGATTCATCTACGTTCGTATTTCCTCAGGGTCAGACTGCCTTTGACCTGGCCGACGACGAAATGTTGAAGTGGTTAGAAGAACTGAAAAAGAAACAAGCTTCTGTGAGTAGTGTCAGTCTTGGAATTCCTTTACTCGGTCAATTTTGGGGAACATTCACAAAACTCCAAACATCAGATATTTTTGGAATGTGAGCAAATACCATTGGTGATACCCAGAAAATGCAATTGTTCCCACGCGGGCGTCTTTTAGAAATGTGAACATCTTTGAGTTGTGAGTGACATGTCTGAGTTTTGAGTAATGTTTTTGAGTTTTGAGATCCTCCTCAAAATTAATGGGCCGAGTTGAATTTGAATTCATCAGTCTTTGTCAGTCTGTCCTCGGGTAGACTAAGCCAAGTCTTTTGACAGAAGTTGAAAGATGGGAAATTGGATACCATTCTTATTTACTTCAGTGAGCAGAGCATTATTTGTTTATCTGTGTTGTGAATCTGTAGGCCTTTTGTTTTTGAATGAGGCCAATGTTTGCCACAAAGGCCACTCGCCTTTGTTGCAAAGTAGTCTTGGCCAAGTGTCCCGAATGACACTTGTGGAGAGTGATGAATCCTCAATGATGATGCTCATCACCAGGTTGTAAATGCCTCACGTGATGTTGCAAAATTGTGTTGATTAGAAAATGAGAAGCTTTTTCTTTCTGGGATAGTTGAAGAAAGAAGAGAAGCCATCTGCTCCAAGAATTGAAGCTAAGAACCCTCCACCCTTCAAGAGAAGGTATGCTTGAATATTTATTTACTCTTCTGAAATTTCATGTCAGTTACTGTCTGTGGATTCAGTTTCTTTTTTTTTTCATTTGTTAAACTATATACTGAAACAAAAGCTTTGCTGATCATGCTCAATTTTTTTCATATCTCTTTCAGAATTCTAGAAAAAAATAACCAAAACTGAAAGAAGAACAAAACTCAAACGAAACAAAAACATTACTTTTTCGCAAGCGTATGAGAAAAACACCTGTTCACTTTAAAAGTTCATGGCTTCAGTAAATATAGTCCAGTCAAGTTCTCTCCTTTATTTTGGTTTATTAGTGTGTGTGTGTTTCATGAAGCTTTACTTTGCGGCTTTGTGGTTGAATTTCTTTTTCGTTCTTTTTGGTTCACCATTTGGTGTGCTGTAGCATGACAAGGCCGTGTGAAGTTAAACAGATAATCGCTTTCTGAAATTGAATGAAAGACATATTGAAAAGAAGAGGCCTGAGGTCAAATTGTGTTCATTGTTGATTTTGTGCCCTTTGAAGCATTAACCCAGCAGATCAGTATTTCACAAAACATCGATTCCAAAGCACCGGCGTTGCCCAGTTTGAGTTCTCAGACAATCAACAACACCCGTTGAACATGTGAACAGAGTCAAAAAAGCACTGTTCCCCCCAAAAACCGATAAAACCAGAATGAGGCATGTTTAAACAATTAAGGACTACACGCCTATTTTTTGTATTAGGTGTAACAAACGTGTACATGAAGCTGATTGACGTGTGCTTTCCAAACAGTAGTGACTTGAATTGTTATTAACCTGTAGTTGGACTACACGAGTTGAAATTTGGGTCAAAGTCAAACTTCAAAAGCCGGCCATATTCATCCCAATGCTGTGTGAGAACTTTGTTCCTTTTTTTAGCATCCCGCAGCACGATTTGGCTTCACCTGTGTGCGCTCTTAATCCAATATGGCCGACTTTTGACAAGTTTTACCGTACGCTGGGAACTTGTGTGCAGCTGTTTGAACTTTCTCACTGTTCACTTTCATTCAGGTCACAGCCATGTCATTACATTCGCTGAGATGTGCTCTGCTATATTTCTGTCTACACATGCACATGTAGTGCTCTCATTTTTCATATAGTTTTTATTGATTATTGTCAAAGCATTTCGGAAAACATTTCGTCCTCTCAAATTAAACAAAAGCATGACTTCTAGAAAGCAAAGCTATAGTTTTTAGAGCCAGATCTTTTTCAAAACTTCCATGAAAAGTGGAATTTTTTGACAAACTGTTTGCTTGTAGTGAAAGCATCACACCTACTCTTGATTGTGAATACAGTGTACAATGTACTTAATTTGCATGTGACATTTACTAGACATTTAGAGCGCCCCCATTCAGTAGCTTATGTACATGTAGATTTAATCAGTCCTATAATCATCGGATGTACTTCAACATTGTCTGTCAGTAAATTCTGTCATGCACACATTCCCTACAGTTTGATTTTACGTCATGACAATTTCCTTCCATTCTCAAGTTCAATCAGCACTTCATTTGCACTCATAGACCAAAGCTGATGAATATACTGTGCTATTCTCTTTCCTTCCTAGGAATTCTAAAATGGATACTGTAAAACTTGTAACATCTATTTCCATTCCATTTTTTTCCCCTCCAATGCCTTCTTTTCTTTATCTGGTTCTCTGGTGGTTAGAACGGCAAGTAGTCTCAAAAATCGTCCTGAGATGAATTGGTAGATATTCTCTTTTCATTGTCAAGCTTTTGTGTTCCTTAAAAAAGAAAAAAATGAAAACTACCCTTTTTGTGGCAATTCTCTTCCTTTTGGAGGTAAATGTTAACCCTTGGTTTTGCAGGGTAGGGCTTGGCTAAAGTGGCAATGATTAGAACATTACACGTCCCAAATGGGCACCTCCAGCTGGTACCCTGTATTTGCAGCCTAACCCACAAGCTTTGTTTTGAAACTGTGAAGGCAATTGGGAAATTCTGAAGGAACAAGTTGGTGTGGTCGCCTTGCTCCGGTGATGGGTCATGCTGTATCAGTGTTGAGAACCCACTTGCACCATACTGTCAGTAGATAGACATTCAGTGGCCAGATGTGTCCCCCGGCCCCATGGTAGTTGCTCGGTTCTCCCTCCCCCCTGTGTCCTTCCCCTTACTAAAGGTTTTAAGTGAACCCGGACATTGTGTAGTGCATTGGTACACCTAACCAACAAAAGAGCCCTATTTTCTCTGCCGAGTCTATGTACACTTGTGATCCAACCCTCCCCCGATAGCATCCACCGAAAACCACATCAGAATTTTTGCCTGCCTAGAAGCACAGCATTTTATCTGTTACAAGGAATACATGCATTGCATAAACTCAGGTGGACGTCAAATGTGATTATAAAGCTTGTTCTTAATTGCCTCAAAGAAGAACATGCCAATGTCTCCAAAAAAAAGAAAGCCAAACAGTTTTCTGATCACAGAACCTCAAATGAAACAGAGGCTTTAAAAACACTTAGTTTGAAATCTTTCCTCGCGGGACCTTAAGTCTCCAAGAAAATTCTTTCACATTGGTCGATGGCAGTAAGAGTCCATCCTGATTAGTTGGATAAGATTGCGTGTATTCTTTGATGTGGGTATAGCTAGAGCTTATAGGAATATGCACCACTGAATGTGTCAGAGATATGGGACATCAAGTGTAGCCGTTAACACTGCACAGACTTATATATTATAGACTTCCATGGTGCCCTTTAACAAATACCACAATATATCGCCGAGGCACTTGTCCTTAATCCTATCCCAGTCAAAATTCTTTCTGACACAGTTTTTCTGAATGAGAAAAAGGAGTTGACCTGATTTGTTTTCTGATGTGAAAACCAGACCCTTTTTTTTCTTTAAACATCAAGCACTGAAACTAATTGCCGAGTTTGCTACGTGAAAAGATCTAGGTAACCACCAGCTTCATTTGATTGAATTCTCAAGCATTTTCTCCCTTGCGAATAGAATTCCATTGGGCTGCTTTAATGTAGTTCATTTACCTATGATCCAAGTTGTTAGAAATCATTTTTTTTTCTATCTTTTTGAATTTTTTTTTTGCACTTTGCTCACCATACGCTTTGCCTGTAGGGTTAGCCATGATAACTTCCAAATTGGGGATTAAACACCACTGTTTTGTATTGGAAAATCCAGTCTTTGAATGAGTGGATACATAAGTGGGACAATCCAACTCATTACCAAGGGAATAGCAAACTTTGGAGGGGACATCCTTTATTCTAATTGCACTGTTTCCTCTACAACATGGAAAGTTTCTGCCTATTTTAATAAGTCTTTATGTAACAGAAAGAGATGTTTTCCAGTCTGAAGAACTTACTTTCTGTCTCTCCCTGCAAAGCACCAACTAAAAGTCAACCTTGGAAATCACATATTTACTCTAATTAACCCTCATGAATATTCATAACTAATCCATCTCCTCTGCATGCATGAACAACTCAATTTGGTTTCACTCATTTAATTTTACTCTTCAACTTATTTGTGACATTATTTGTTGCTCTTGTGAATATTGCAGTACCAGATTGTCGCTTCTGTATGATTTTGATTTGAGGCATACTTGCATTAAGTGTAAAGTGAATACATGTATTTCTAATGTATATGTACATGTATTATTTAAGGAGATTTGGAGAAGCAAGTACATGTAGACCTAAGTATCTTCAGCACCTAAACAAATGAATCAGAAAGTGAAATAAGCACGTGTAAGAAAACTGAAGTTTACTTTGAAGTGAGTTTAAAGCCGAAAGAATGACAACTTTACCAACAAATCTAAGTACGTGTATTATTTAAGGAGATGTTGAGAAGCAAGTACATGTAGACCTAAGCATCTTCAGCACCTAAACAAATGAATCAGAAAGTGAAATAAGCACGTGTAAGAAAACTGAAGTTCACTCTGAAGTGAGTTCAAAGCCGAAAGAATGACAACTTTCCCAACAAATCTAAGGTTATGCCTCCTTAAATAATAGATTTGTTTCTCAGATGACATCTGGCTATGTCTGTAACTCGGATCTGTCAAATGCATTTGTGGATTGGTGTAAAATGTGATTCCTTAAAAGTAAGGAAATCTTCCATGTTGTGTAGAAGAGGCAGTAAAGCACGCCAAGGAGACGCATGACGAGTGAAATGTGGTAAAAAAAAATTTATGGGAAGGGGGAAAAAAAGGGGGCAAAACTGGAAGAGAGGAAGACTCGATGCATGGCTAACCTTTTTGGCTCCTTTTTTGCATAAATTTTTTGGCTTCTTTTATTCCCCCTCTTCTTCTTGTTTGTGCGTCCCGTTTTCGTGCGGTGTCTCTCTTCTCTCTTTCTCGTCTCTATTCCCGACACCCCTGTGATTTCCCCCTCCCCATCGCCCCCCCCCCCTTTTCCCTGTTACCCCCCTGGTGTTCCCCTTCCTTTGGCGCTGACTCGCAGGTCTTCCGTTACACGCATTAGTGTTCCTGACCGCAACATGCTGCTACACCAAGATATGGCGAAGGAGCGGCGCGAGTTGGAACTGAAGATTCACGGCAAGGACAGTGAGAAGGAAAAGGTAAAAAAAATCAAAAGCTGTCTGCTTCAGTCTTCCATCTTTGCTTTGTGAAATATGTATGCTTTTATTTGTCAAAAACAAGTCCTTACTAAACTATGACTTTGCACGTTTTTGTCTTGCTCACTGAAATCTGTGCATTGTCAGCTTACAGGAAATACTTAAGGTTGACTGGTCCCTAGACTGGTGTGGAGTCAGTTTAGTGGGGAACCAGTGGGACTCCATGCAGGGCTCATGAATTCAGCCTGATTTCCTGAAAACTGACACTTAAAGTGCGTATGAATTGAGCATCACGAAGATACGTCAAGATTTGAACAGATTTTTGAGTGTTTCTAGGATGTGTCCGGATTGTGTTTGAAAGCACGTACCCCGGCTGAGTCTTTCCATTGTCCCTTTGAAACTCTCCCGTCCTTCAAGTTCATGCCATTTTGTACTCTCATGAGGTAGTATAACAAAACAAAAACTTTCCCTTGAACATGAAACCACATGCCCCATATATTTCCAGTTATCTTCCCTTCATTCCTCCATTTTCCCCTTTTCATATACATACACATAGAGCTAAATCAAGCATGGTTGTCAGCAGTGACAAAGTTATATTAAACTTATGTAAGTACAGGGTAAAACTGAGAATGACGCCCCTCCCCCAAGAAAAAAGCATATAAGCCGTGCTGATGTTGTTGGCTTCAAAATGAGGTGTACCTGTTTGCATTTGGCGGAGTGTTTAGTGCCGCCATCAGTAAACATTTTTTGGGTTTGTTTGGGGTTTTTTGGCATTTCCAAGTCATCTGCAGGATGAGGTGGACATTTTTGGACCAAAATGAATATGAAAGATATGAGTGACTAGAATCAACGGGAAAAAAATTTAAAATACGAATTCTGATTACATGAAGATTTCCCAGGTGGGTAATTCCAGAAATTAGGGGTCCATTTTTTTGTGTGTGTCCCTGTCACATCACATCTGACATGATTTTGTAAGTTCAAAACATATTTTTAATCTCCAAGAGTGATGAATTAAATGCAAGTTACATGTACCTGCCAAACAAATAGTAATAGTTTGAAATCAATTCCAGTGATATTTCCATGTCAAATAACAAAGGGACACAGAAATGTCACACTTTTGGACCCCTAATTTCTAGAATTACCCATATGACAGTTCTTTTCTTACGACAAATGGGCATCCAAACTGCCTTTTTCTTTGGGGAGTTCACCATCTACCGGTAGCAACCTTGCTTACAGTTTACATCACCATCTCGACCTCACACACCATGCATCCTCATCCATCCAACCGTTTAACAAATTTCTCCTCTGCTGATTTGGTTGACATGTGTTTATTTTCTCCTCCCCCCTTCCCTTTTTGTTCTGAACCTCCTTCACTCGGACATGACTAACATTACAGCCGGCCAGTAATGTGAAACCGAAGTCACCGACTGGCCCCAGTCGGGCACACGGGGTAGGTTTTGCTGTACATGTCATAGTGACACCTCTTGTCCTTTTATTTTAGTGTCACTGCAAAGTTGTGTGTAGATACTAAACCAAAGAAATAAGTTACTCTCTAAGATATACAAGGACAATTGTTTTAAAAACCAATGCAAATGTTTGCTCATCTTAGGGATTCTCTTTTTTTGGGGGGGTATGATTGTAGGAATTTTCTTGTTTGGTATTTTTACGGGGGAATCCTTACAGATAAAGCTATGGGCAAGTTCCATCAAGGACCACAGTTAACCATAGTTTGACTAATTCTGATCGAACACAGAGTAGTCGACGATGGTTGGAATAGTCTAGTCAACTATTCGCGACCAGCCTATCAAGGTTGGTCTCATCGTTGGTCACCATAAACCATTTTTAATAGCACAGTGCAGAGAGGACCAGTTATAAGAAAAATACTGGAAAAACAGTAACTAGTAAACGGCCATTTTCACTTTTAGTTGTGCAATTCTGCCCTTGTTTCCCCCCTTTTGCAGCCACCTTTTCTCCCCTTCGACCTAATGACCTGACAATGGTTGACTAGAGTGGTTTGCACTTCAACTTCATTGCACATGCACTAAGTACATGTACGTCACGAACCAACCATTAATTCACTAGTGGTCCTTGACTGAATTTGCCCAAAGTCTTGAACACCTACATGTACCTGTATAAATGCAAAGCATGCATATGAATCAGTGGAAGAATACAGACTTTTCGCAGTTGTGCACCTCCAAGAGTTTGCAATGCGTTGGCCTGTCACAGTGCGCGAAATCTGTCGACCCAGTGCACGTTTGGAAATGGGCGACAAATTTTGCGCGTTGTGATTGGCCAACACGTTGCAAACTCTTGGAGGTGCACTATTGTGAATCGCCCATATTAGTCATCAGTATTTGAAGCTGATTTGTTTTCTACTTGTGTGTTGATACATGTACCAGATCTGCCAACCTAGCCGTACTCCTTCCTGAGGTCAAGCATGACCAAACAATAGATTAAAAGGTATTTAAATGAGCGCCGTCAGTTCATTGAAATTTTTAATCTTGTGTGTGATAATGCCTGACCTCAGGAAGGAGTCCGGCATGTTGGCAGGTCTCATGTGCTCATGCGTTGTCACTAGCATGCACTTTATGTCTCAGTTCTTTACAGTTAGCACGTATTAGTTCACGTGGTGTTTCAAAAGTTTGAAAAAGAGCTCTGCCGTTTTGTTCTTTCTGAGTACGTTTACATGCGCACAACAGTGTGCATTGGTGTATGTGTTCTCCGTTTGCCTCAGTACATGTAGCTCGAAGTGCTGTCAAAGGCACGCCCTTGCACTCGGTCTGTTTTTCACAATGTAAGGCATCTTGGATAGGTTTTCAACCATGTGGCAAAAAGTAAGCTCACATGTAGCTTCAATTGTCAGGGCGTGACAGGCTCCACACTGTAATGAGTCTCAGAACATGCTTGAAAACCAAGATGACTGCCTTGAGACATACATGTACAAAGGAAGGAATCTATAGTCTTAATACCGTGTGCTTTTCTTCAGCAAGTTGTGTGGGAAAAAGAAAGGAACAGAACACTTAAAAGCTTCTCTTTTTGCTAATTATTGTATTTTAGTCTGAAAAGTTTTTTCAAAATATTCGTCTTCCTTTTCAATAGCAGTGAGAGGTGGTAAGGTTCATTTCGTTGATAGCACCACAAAGCGATGTATTCTGAATAGTTTCCAGTCCACGAACTGATGAATCGTGTGTACAAAATGTATGGACGGTGCATCACTTTGTGGTGCACCAAAGCTATCCTGTACGTCACTTTGTGGTGAAACCGACGATTCGATAGTTACTTTTTCCTAAATTGCAAATTAATGAATGGAAAAAGTGTGCACTGGGTTCTTTTAAGTTTTCATTAAAAACACTGCAACTTCAAGACTGTTCCAATGATCCTGGCGAAGAGGACGCAATTTTTTACCGAGCAATTTTTACTGAGTGGACTCGTACATGAAGACCTTTAGCAGGAAACAGTTATTCCAGTATGTAGATCCATGTCTTGTGTTCTTGTATTGCTTGAGAAATTGGACCTAATATAGTCTCGGACATGATGAAAAACAAAGTGCCGTCTGTGCTCTACAGCGCTATTTGTTCAGTCATAAAAAAAAAATAAACCAAAAGACCAGGATCTATGTACAAACCAGCAATATCTCCCAGGCAGGACATCAGGTTTAGATGTGTTGACTGGTCACATCAAAAATTCCGGTAACCAATCACAACTCTTCCTTTCTTTCCTGTTCATGTCATCTGTATTCCCATTACATTTCTAGCCGACCGTTGTCGCAAAACGGAAGATAACCCCCTGGGTCGCTCAAAGGCCCATTTTCCCTGATTATGAAGAGCGGGAACGGGTAGGTTAAAAAACGTAAAGTCTCACCGGCACTGACCCAAAAAAGGGGGTTTGCGGGCTGCGTGTGTGGTAAAAATGGTGTCAGGGTTTTAACATTCTGCTTTTGTTTTCTGTTTGATCATCATAGCCCATCGTCATCTAGCTGTCAAGAGCAATCATTGAAGCAAAATTTAAACTGTGTTTGTCAAATTAAGTAAAACAAAGATTCAGAGTTAATTGTTGGCCTACTTTTTGCTTTGCAAGTCGTTGCTTTTGGATCTAATTGATGCAGTTTTTAATCAGGGCTATTTAATAACGATTACTGTTTTGTGTGGTTTTGGTTTTTGTAATTGATGAAACTTTCAATGAGCTTTTTGCCAAGCTATTGTTCTACGTGTATGTGTTGCAAAAGAACCCAGAATAATGGCAATTACTTGGAACCACATTTATTTCCCTCTGTTTGGAAGTTCTCTGCACATGCAGTGCACGTTTAAAAGTACCTGACAAATTCCACTGTTTTGTGTGCTGCACATCTTTCTATTGGAAAACCTTTCACCTGTCTGGTTTGATGCGGACTCGTCAGTCACATATTGGAAAACGAATGGGAACTTTATTATATTCGGCCATTGTAATACACAAGTTTCAGGCCAGAAGGACATGTATTAGCAAAATGAAGACACTGTGAATCAGTTGGCAATGTTGAGACGTGTGAGGAAGTACAGTATTCATCTCTAGTTTCATTGTTTGCTGACAGTGTAGTTGAGCTCTTTTTAAGTTTTTGTTTCCATAAAGTAAAAGAAAAAAAAAGAGGTCACGCTTCTGTACTGCCTGTGGGCATTGTAGGGGACGTTTTCCACTTGGAATATGGGCACTGTGCATAACTACATGTACATGCATGCCCCTTATCAGTCAAAAAATGTCAAAGTCACTTGTGTGCAAGGATTCGATCAATCTGAATGACTATTCAATCCTGTAGACAAGTTTAGACTAACTCTCTGCAGGCCATAGAAATCTGAAATGTTCCCACACTCAAGTACAACCTTTATGGAAACAAAAGTCTTCATCCGAATTCATCATCAGGAACACCCCCCTGAAGTTCCCATTTACAAGCAGTAAATTTGCTTCTAGTTGCGACTGTTTTTGGACGTAAGCCAGCCCACATTGATTTCATGATTACACAATGTGCGTGGGCAACCCAAACCATGTAGATTGCATTCTCAGATTCACAAGTACATTTTAGTTGAGCTGAACTGCTGCATTTGAGTAGTGTTCATTTACATGAAGCCAATAGAGCAGACATTTTTACAAACCAGTGGGATAACATGTATTACTATTGAGGTACTTTAAGCAATGTAGGAGTACGTGAACACGTAGACTTCACGTGTTTCTGACATTATTGGTGCTAATTGTGTGTGTCCTGATTGATAGAGCATTGGCAGAAATTTGCTGACACATTGGATATCCGAGGCTTTTTCCTTACAACATTGAGATGGCTGTCACTGCGCGTTGCCAGGTCATTCATGTGACTGAACATTGACACGTATTGCTTATAGGTTGGAATGGTGGTTTGTGCAAGTGACGGGTATGGCTTAATAGTGAGGCAGTGGCACTGTGTGGTGGGTTTGTCACACATTAATGGTGTTGAGGTTAGGTTAGCCAAGTTTATTTATGTTAAGTTTATTTCATGTGTGGCATTTCTAGGTTCTTGGTAACAATTGTACATGCTCGCATTTATACTCTTAAATTGTTTAACAAAGGCAGTTTTCATTTATTTTTTTCCATTTTGATGTAAATCTAATGTAACAGTATGTGACGATACTATTCAAATGTGAATGATAATCCTCAGGGGTCAGATCACATATCACCAGACTCTGGTGAGTTGTCTAAACTGTGAAGTTTGACACAAACTGTATAAAATATCCATCGCGTGTTTTGAAGCTCTTTAGTTCTTTGTTTTGCGAGAGTGAGAGGCAGGCAGGACAAGAGTGGTGGCAAGTTGAAGGTTTCTGTTTTGAAGGTTGAACTCGTGGGATCTGTAGAAAGAGTTGGTTTGGGGGACTTGTTCAAAAAGTTGACTCCAGACTCATCTTCCCTATGCTGTTATATAAAGAAAACAACAAAGTCCCACATTGAAATTTATTTACAGGGCAGCACAGTTAAAGCCAGCACCATTCAAGGGCCCCGACGTTCTGGTGGTTTCACCAAAGTTGGCACATTGGTAATCTTTATGCATTCTGCGGCTTTTGTGGAAGCATCCAGATGTCTGCTTAATTTTGTCTTTTTTTTTTTTTTTGCAATGGCTTTCTGATTACAAATGGTGGTGGGTTTGTTGTAAATTAGTTTGGTCAAATCCAATTGCAAACTACAGTGTCTCGCACAAAAATTGTCAGAAATGGTCTTCAGCCGAGCAAAGTTCTGTAAATATTGAGGTTCTGTTGGTCTTTTTGGCCTTTGTAGTTGTTTCTGGGAAAATTTCAAAAGAAAAGAAAGTAATTTAAAGCCGTGCAGAGAAGTGTTGCAGAACGAAGCATACTTTCATAGAATTGCAGTTGTTAGAAATTGAGGCGTTGCAAAGTGTCTGATGAAAATGTTGTAAGGGTTTTCTTTAAAACAACATTTGTGGACTCTTCCATCCAGGGATTTGAGCTAACAGGTTTTTTCTTTTCTAAACAAAACTTTGGTCACATTACTGGAGAGGCATAATTTTGTTGCTGTGGCCATTTGCGGCAGTGGTGCTGGTTTCCTAAGGCCTTGCTTTGCATCGGTCATTGTGGCTTCTTGCATGTTGCCATGGGTAAAGGAGTGTATCAGGAGACACGACAGGACAGCAACTTGTAATTTCTCCACAGGAATACAGTGTAACTAATGCGGAGTCGTACATGTACCTTCGCAATCCGTGGGAAGTCGACACTCTGGTAAACACACAAAAACCCTATAGAATTGCCTTAATGCCATTTTTTCCAGGGGGAGGGTCTCTCTCTCTCTCTCTCGCTTTCTGGGATGTAGGGCCAGAGCTTGCTTTTGAGTGCAGAGGGTTTAGGACTGGTTTGTGCAGCAAGTTTGGACAGATAATTAAACTTGGAATTGTTTTGGAAAACTGACCAATTGAGAATGGTGGAGGTTCTAAGGGCAGGATTGCTCGGCCACAGTGTGTGTGCCTCATTTACCAATATCTGAAGTAAGGTAGGTTAGAGATCTCTCGTCATAAATGATACAGTGTTGTACCAGATTTAATTGATAGGAACTGTAGAAATTTAAATTTGGCATAATAATATGAAATAATGCTGCGTATAAGTATGTCAGAAATATTAACAAAACTTCAATATCATTGTGAAGTCCAGACATAAACTACTATGTACATGTAAGTAGTGTTTCCGTTTTTCCAACAAGCACGAATTAAGAGGCAATAGCAGAATGAAATTGCTTCTATGGTTTTTATTTTTTTGGGGGGGAAGTGTTGCCATTTCCTTAGCTGTAGTTTCATTTACCAGTAGATGTATACAAAAAAAAATCTGTGCTTTTTAAAAATATTAAGTAATTTTATTTTTTTTTTGTAACTATACACCCTATGTGGGGTTTTGCATGAAAAGTGTAGCAATGGGAAAGGAAAGGGAATACCTGGGAAGTACCAGCTTGTACTTCAGTTTAATTTGCTTATTTCATTTTGGTGGCTATGGTGGTGGTGCCTTCCATCTTGCTTGCGTATGAGATATCTTAACTGTTGATAGGAGAAAAGTGTGACATCTTACATGATTAGGAGCCCTCTATTTACCAGCAGCTGCTGCCGTTTAGCAGAATTTCTGTTTGCACCAACATTATTAGTGTGTGTCACCATAGAGACGTAGTGCTGCAGCCCATTATATGTAATGCCAAATACACTTTACTCAGTGATCTTGTCCAGTCACATATCTGCTCCCATCATATAAGGAAATCAATATTTTTGCTGTGTCTGTTTTTTTTGGGGGGGGGTTTTGTTTTTGTTTTTGGTGTCTTTCTTTTTTTTCTTTTTTGTAGTTCCAGGTAAGTCTCTGTTCTGCAAAGGATTGTAATTATGCGTGGCGTCTTGTTGCAGCTTTTTAACTCTCCACTTAACAGTTTTCAAGTCTAACTCTCTCCACCTTGAAATTTTGAATTTGTTTCTTTGGAAGGTGCTTGATTGTAAAAAATCAAATTTTAACAAGAATTTTATTATTCTGAGCTATTTATTAAACAAACTCTAAAACTAGAAATGTTCTGAGAATATGGAGAAAAAATTAGAAGCTTTATGGAAGCAGAAGTTTCAAATCTTAATCGAAGCTCACGTCTTCCCCCATTCTTGCATTATCTGCCCACCCTGATGCCTCCTGTCACTGTGGCAACAGGAGAAGAAGACGATGGAGTCCTCCAGCTCTAGTGAGAGCGAGAGTGAGAGCTCGGAGGATGACAGCAAGAACCGATCCGCCAAGAACCGCGGCAGCCTCAACCACAACAAGCCAGGCGAGGTCAACACCAGGCAAGCCAACCGAGCCGGGAATCTACCCCAAGTCCCTGCCACCCCAACAACGCCTGCAAAGAAAGAGGTAACGGCCAGTGTTGTATTTGAGTCCATCACAAGTACCTGTAAGTCCATCACAAGTCAAAAGTTATTCAGTCTTCAGCCATTTCACAAGCTATTCAAAATGAGCCGTGAGAAAAGCATTCTTTTGTCATTCTTCACCCTGTGACTTATGACAGGCTATGTGACGGGACTTGTGACAGGACTTGTGATTGACTCGAGTACAACAGCGATAACAGCAACACTGTCTGTCACTTCTGAAATAAGATTCAGGCCCTATGATTTGAAAGATTTTCTTTGCTATAAGAAGTTTTCAAAACATCCAATGTAGACATTGGTTAAATGGCAGTTAGCAGTTAATTAGTTACCCAGTTACATAGAGAATGATGCAGATTCTGTGTTAGCATATTAAACCAGGTGCAACTGTCTACCATGGCTCGTGTCCTTGGGCATGGGTCGATGCAGCTTTTAGGGTGACATATGGGTACTGTATGGCAAAGAGGTGATATCAGTGAGGGAGGGGTGGTTATGATACCAATTTTTCAAGATATGGTACATGTTTTACTTGTCAGGTCACAGTACTAATTGCACTGAGGTACATTATCTTGATCTTTCACATGTAACAGTCACTTTGAATTCATGGAGTCGTTGAATTCACTCACTAATTTGCCCTCATGCAGTGCATGTGTAGCTTATAATTCCGGCGTCTGTAAGTCTGCGAATCTGACAGAAGTAGTCTTTGACTTTATTGAGGGTCAAACAATGCAATGCAGATTTTGGTATCAGACGGATCACAGCATTCCGTTATTGCAGTTTTCATGTTTGGCAAAGTAATTTGTCAATCTCAGATATCACTTTGAGGAGAGTAGCACTAATCCACCCCTTTTTTCTTATGTGACTCCTCCCCCTTAGGTCCCCAGCTTCTCCCCCAAGCCACTGCAGCCCCCAAGGCAAGACTCCAAGGAGGAAGCCACTCCGGCCTGGCGGCAGGGCCTGCGGAAGTCGGGCAGTGCCAGCGTGGTGGCTGACACTGTCCAGAAACCGGACAAGGAGCCAGAGAAGCTGCCCCGGTCATCATCCAGTCCCAAGCTGACCATGACGGAGGAGCGGGCCAAGGTAAAGACCTGTAAGGTTGAGGCTGGGGGGAGGGAGTCAAGGGACTGGTAGGTCTGGTTCCAGCCTCTCCACTTAGAGGACAGGTGTTGAATGCCGTGAGGTTCCCAGTGTAGCTGCCTGGTTTCCTGTGTCAGACTTAATGTATACTTCATTTCTGGTCCATCAAGCTTGAACAGTTTCAGTATTGATGTTTGAAATTCTGCTTGGGCATTATTGTGGCTTGATAGATTCAAGAACTTGCTTGGTGTCCAAGCTCTAAAATGAGTCAGCTAGAATGTGTTGTGACGTATATTGGCTGCGACTGTTTCTCAGGGGAAGTTCAAACGATAACTATTAATTGACCACTTTTCAAGTTTTCCCCGGTAATCTCTGCAAAAAATATATTCTGGATACCGGGTAAAAATCAATCAGTGGTTGACTAATGGTCATAGCTTGAACTTGTCTTCAGCTTGCCATTGGCTTATCATGTCTCATATGTTTGTATTTTCTCAGCAATCAGTCAGTGAGAGGCAGGATAGGCTAGGGCGGCTAACGGAGGACAAGCCGGTTGAAACCAAAACGTCGGAACCGAAGCCCGAAGAAAAACCCGGCAGGTGAGTCCACCAGTGGGCCATCATCATCATTACTGCATCTCACAGTGCTGATTGGTCCTGTCAATGTCATACTACATTCCTCTATAACTAGCTCATTGCAAACTGGCTTTCGGAGTTACTGAAACGGGAAGTCAAAAATAATAAAATGACTTTGGGTAAAAGTTGTCAGAAGGGGCTGAAACTTAAAGGTTTAGGGTTGTTCTTTAGTTCATTTGCATTAGTTAGTTAATCTAGAAATCTGTACTTAAGAGGCCTGGGTGTTGGTTGAGGGTAGGAAGATAGAGAGGTCATTCTTCAAAGAAGGCAGGGATTTCTCAAAGGAAAAGGTTTTTTCTTGATCCATTTCAACACTGTACATGTGCATGGCAGTGATGTGTATGGACAGGGAGTGACTGAGTCACATTGGGTCGGTACACATGCAAAGTGGAAGCGCTGCTTGCTGCATCACAAATAGCCTGTGCACTTGTCTGCTGGCTGCTATCTAATACAACTATTTTTTACTGGAGAATGCCGAGAAGGATTTTGGAAATAATTTCAAAAGGTAATTTTTGGGAAGGTTGGTTAGACCGATCCAGCAAGCCCCGCCCACAGTGCACGTAGGCTCTCAAGATGTGCTCTCCTCCAAAGCCACAATAAATGTTCCTGCTGCGTGCATTATATGCATCGTACATGTGCTCATGTTGGACTTTGGTGCACGCATGTCAGACATACATGTACATGTACAGTCATGGCTGCGATTGGCCAGAATGCAGTAGGGCTGGGCTCAATGGATTAGTCTGTTGGCTGTGTAAAGGAAGTGATTGCTCACTTTGCCCTGTTATTCTAACTGTTACCACACACAATGACCGGCTTTGTTGTGACAGCTGACTGTAAAACCAATCTTTGAGAGCAATTCAGTGGAAAATCTGCCCAAAAATAGTGCTGTCAATGATGAAGAACGTTTATTTGTAAACGATCGGGAACGATTCCTGTGAATCGGGCAGATTCAAATCTACAAGTAATCACTGTTACTGCTCAGTTACCCAGCAAAGCCTAGTTGTCACCATGTAAATGCATGCCTGTTTTCCTGTTTTTAATAGCAACCCTGTAATATTTAAAACTTGGTTTCCTGTCTCCAACATTTCTTTGTTAAATGAAATGCATGTTGTTCTCCCTTCCATCACAACTCTGATTTTAATACTGCATGAGCGTCAGAACTTCCTGTGAGTCAAGGTGGCTAGAGCAAAAGTCACACGAAGGCATTTCAGAAGCTCTTTGTGCTAGATTTCACCTTTGTGTGTCACTCTCCTCAATCTGATGGGAGGAGCCTCGGAATACTAGGAGTCATCAGTCAGTTCAAGTTGTATGGTAGCCCACAGGAATTTCTGTGCAGTTCAAAGTTTTCTCAGTGTGACACCCCCTTCCCTCCATCGTTTTTTCCCTTCACCATTTCCCCCACCCTTTGCTCATTTTAACACCCTCGCAGGGAGTACGGAATTTCCTCGCGAGGCGGGTCGTTCACGAGACGTCCCCGCATCATTGCCGATGTAACCACCGACCAGGACAAAGGCCCGGACACTGACCGGAACACGACCATAACCGCAACCATAACCACCACCACTACCCCTTCTGTAACCACGGCAACAACTACCGTTCCAACAAACGGGAGAAGGTAAAACTGAGGCAGGAGGGGGACCGCAATGTAAAAGGAAGGGGGGTCTTCTTTGATTCATTCAGAGCCCTGCTTTCCTCGACATATTCTCAAACTGTTCATTGTCAGTGACTGTTTCTTACCTGTCTCTGTGTGTACCATACCTTCTTGTTAGCAATCGTTAACCCATCTAAGGCTTGTTTGTTGGTTTGTTTGTGTACCTGTGTGTTCATTTGACATCTTAATGCCTGTTGAACTGTTATGGTACAGTTGTCCATTCCAATCTTTTCCCTTTTTTATCCTGTTGTGTTTACGTCTACTGTTATATGTTGTTTTCACCAAGTTGTTTTACATGGAATATCACTAATGAATGTACTGCCCTTGTTATGTTCATTGAGCTCTTCTTTTACAAGGTGTGGGCTAGCCTTTATTGTTGCCATAGTTACACTGCCTCCTTCACAGTGAGGATCCATACATAGCCAATTTATTGTCAAGCGTCTGACAGAAAGATACCACATTAATGAATTATGCCAACTATTTCCTCCTTGTAACTCAGTTTTCTGACGCATTTTAACCAAATCTTGGAGGATTTCTTGAAGTGATTGTCATGAAGCGAGTTGTTACGATTAACAGATTGCCCCCGTTGAGAAATTGTTTCTCCATTTCATCCTCCAATTTGTCCGTCTTTTCATATTTTTTTCCATAACCATGCGTGGTGTGATTCTTATTACAATCTAATGTTGCCCAGGTTTCTGACTTTCCTTCCGTTGTTCACAATAACATTTTCCAAAGCTCATAATATTGGTGATACCCTGGTTTAGTCATCCCCTGCCATCTTTGCCTTATGTTTTCTGAGTGAACCAGCAGTTTGTCCACTTTTGTTAGGTCGTACATGACACCTGCCAAGGACGAGGAGTCGGAAACGCAACGTAGAGTAAGGGCTAAGCGGGAAAGGTCATCACGGAGATCAACTCAGGTTTGTGAGACCAAAATGATTCTCTTTAGTACTGTGCCAGCATGTCCCTGAGCAAGGCGCCTTTCGGCAATCGCTACCTCTGCCCACATAGACGGAAATGGGTTCTCACAGGTGGCAGTTTTTAACATGGTAACTTGGATGCCTTTGTCTGTGAGGAAGGTGCTTGGCTATCAGTCGTCTATCCTGGATCGCAATGTGGGTGTCAGTTGATTTCAATGAATTTACTTGAAAGCTGTTTCACTTCAGAACACGGTACGGCCAGTACTGGTCAAGATGAAAAACTCTACAAATCACTCCCAAGTCGTGACCAGATTTGATTGATTTCTTTTTGTATTTCAGGGAGTGACAGCAGAAGACTTAGAGGGTGCTAAGACTGCAATTCAAAAGAAAGATGACAAGGAGAAAGACAATAAGAACGAACCCCAGAAGGTAAGAGCTGGCACTGGGCTCAAGGTGAAAGCTGCCGGGCGGCCTAATTGCAGGTGGTTGGGTGTTGCCGGTGTAAGGGTATCGCTGCTCCAAGGGGCAAATATCGGTTCATGGGTGCTGCAGATAAAAGCCCCCCCCCACCTGTCAAAATGGTAACGGTGCCTAAGGTGCATTGCACAAAGCTTAATCAGAGCAGTTCGCACAGTGCATCCCTTGTAAGCTTTCCCCCACTGAGCAATTAATTCTGTGTTTGGAAACCTATCTATACACAACATGTATTCAATTCAAACTGCACGCTTACTGTCTTTGCAGATCTGAACAGATCAGCACTTTCATGTGTAGCTATGCACAATTCAAACACAGTAAGCCTTCTGTGCACCTCTTGAACGTGTTGTAGCCAGAGAAACAGTGTCTTGAAATATCAGAGCATTCACTCAGACTTTCCTCCCCCTCCCCTAAAAAATCTAAGCATGATAATATGATAATAATTTTCAGCTGTCTTGCGAATTTGTTTTTTTGCAAAAATTCATCCAACTTGTCCCCCTCGTAAAAAGGAAAATCAGTACACAGCATTTAGTAGAAAAAAGAACAAGACCCACATTTGTGAGCGACATTTTGGTCTGACTCAATAGGATAATAAGAAAGAAGAGGAGCCTCCTAGGCCATCTCGGAGAATTGGAAGGGTATCACTTACGAGCAACAAGGAGGTATGTCACTGGGCGGTTCACAGACCACGCCTCACTTGCCGTTATCCCCTCCCATTCTTTCCTTTCCACTTCCCAACCAGAGTATTGTCTCTTTTTTTTTACGCTTGCTGTGTTAATATGCTTATTCTGGCTTGGCTTTGCTCTTTCTCATGTCATGCCTTTCGGATGTGCATTGAACACCAGACAGGCGTGGACTTAACCAAGATACAGTGATTTTGATTGGCTATTTTGAAACTGGTGTTCAGCTTTCTGTGTGAGCTGATCACCTCCAAGTAGGAAACCTGTCTCATCAATAATAAAATTAGGTGTCAAATTTGGTGGAGAACTTGGATTGCAGCTTTTTCAATTCTCAAGTCATTGTTTCCTGTTAGTGAAGAATTATTGGGGTGGAAAGTTTCTAGAAAAGGTTGGCCGTGAGAATAGAGGTGGACCACCAAATTTAAAACTGCATTCCCGAGAGCCAGTTCTGTATTCCGACAGTGCATGCGCCACCTGAGGCTATTTGGAAACAAAAACGCACACCCAAAATAGTCTGTCCTATTAATGCAGCCATAAGCTGACTCACGTGGGTCTTTTGTTCCTGAAGACTTTGGCTTTTTGAAACACTGAACTGGCTCATTGATGGTGGATAAAACAAATTAATACCTATATAAAGAGTGTTTTTATGATGTACATGTATGTCATTGCACTCACCTGCTTAAATAGGTGACAGTTGACCACAGCCTTGTTATAGTGAATAAGGTCTCTTCCTGGAGATAAGATTCCGTGTAGAATAAGCATTCTGCAAGTTGAGTTTGAATAAAATCTGGCACACTGAGTTCCTTAAAGTTAATTTAAATGAACCTCACAATTTGAATTCTCCGTACTAAAGACACTCTTCCTGTACCTCGTGATTCGGGGCAAGGTTTTGCTTAGTTACATAAGAGACGCCTTGCATCAATACACTGTTTCAATTAATAAGAAGGGCGCAAAGGAACCAGTCCATTCCAGATATGGTGGTCGCTATGCAAAAGCTTGCCCCGAATCATGAGGTATGATAACAGTGTCTTTAGTCTGGGGAATTCAAATTGTCATGTTTATGTGCAGTCAGATAACCCAGTGTACCAGATTTTATTTAACTCGCAAATGGCTCATTTGGAGGCTCTGCAACATTACAGAGTACTGTCTGCCATATTGAATTCACTGCTTCTGGTTTGTTTGTAGTACTTATGTTTGTCCAAGACCACTCATTGTGTGTGTTGCATGCATCCTCACATGTAGTTAAAACAACGAAGTACATTGTGTGTCTAGATAATCCTGCCTGCATTTGTATTAAGGGCAGACATTTCCAGTGTGTTTCACATATTTCTACCCTTCTTTTATATTAGCCTATTTTGCCATTGTTTGATATTGCGAGCTTTCCTTGTAGCCCGTTCGACCAAGCACGCAGTACAGAAACTGCATCATGTCAACCTATATTGAAAAATGCATTGATGAGGGAGTTGCAGTTCCAGAAATTAAGACCTCGTCTTGCTCACTTTTCACAGAAAGTGTCACGCGCTGTGCAGTTTCTTCTGGTTTCTTGGGAAGTTCAAGTAGAGAACATTATGAGTCGTGCGGTACATTGACTGAAGATAGATGGCATGAGAGTCCAAAATGTTTCCCTCAGTGAGAACGAGGAAAAACCCCTTTGACAAAATAACACATGCCACACTCTGCCAAGATGGTGTCATTTCCACCAGACACCCTACTGACTTCTTCACTTGTTCATTAGGTTCTGGCGTCATCTGATCACCAGTGTGACTCCCCCCCCATCCATTATCCATCACGAGGCCAGCTTTCATTTGAGACAGCTGGAGTTTTTCAGAGCAAACACCAGTCAATTATAAATCATCATTGAAACAATTAGAAATTGCTCTCACACATGGCAGGTCAAATTAGTTTAGCCATCAGACACTTCCGCACACAGAGCACTACATAGAAAAATGGACTGGTCACTTTTACCCATAAATTGTCAGGATGTTTTTTTCACATTGTTAATTCATGGGGGGATCAGTGGAATGAGACTAATCAAAGTACAGCCGCTATTCTTTTTTTTTTCGTCCTGCTTTCATTAGATACATTAGAATGTTTAGTACCCCCAAAAAATTAAGAATCAAAGTCACATACACGTGGCAATTGACATGGTTGTTCCATCAGTTCTTAGAAGCAAGCTTAAGAAGCAGTTATGTGAACCCTTTTCCACATTTTTTCCTGGTAATACCGAGCTCTCCACAATTACTGCCGGTCTGCGGTGTTATTCCACCCAAAGTTCTGACGTTAATGATGATATACTGCACACAAATGCTTCCCCATGGGCACTTAATCTTTTCATATGGCCCGACAAAGGGCCTTCCACTCTCCCAACCTGATGCGTCGTGATGCCAAGTGCACCCCTTCCTCCTCGACCCCCCCCCCACAAAATGTACTTCACAGGTCATCCTCCTGAGGTCGTTGAACTCCTGCATTTCTGACTGCGGCTGCAACTCCAACTGATAAGAGGGCCACTTGACTTCTACATGTAACTCATAAATGGCCCATTCTGAATTACCCAGCATTTCCTGTAATGCCCTTGCCTGCTTGAGGAGGGTGCGGAAGGCAGATTCTGTGGCGCAGATGGAGATAACGCATGGGATAATTACCAGACACCTCACTTTTTTTTTTTGAAGTAAACAAATTACCTCACTGTGTGTGATACCACTTAATCCCAGGGCCCTGATATTCTCATCTCATCTGACGGTGGAAACGAGCTCTTGTTTGCCGCATATTCAGCAGGGGTTGGATTGTGGTCGGGTCTTATGGTATTGGACTCTAACAATTTTGAAAGTATTGAGGAGAACAAAAATAACAGTCACAACAAAACTAGGAATTGTCCACATTCGCAGAAGTTCTGTTTTGATATTTCTTTTGTCTTTAAAACATCTTGGGCAAATAATGAACCACTACGCTATTTTTGATATCGTTTGGCACGAATTTGCTTGAAATCACTGAAGTGCAAATTTAATTGGCATGAAATCGGCGAAAAAGAAACTAAATTTGCATGAAATTAAGTAGATAGAAATTTGTGTAAATTTTTAGCATCTTACTGCTAAAAAGAGGTCTTTACTCTTTGAATACCTGTAAGAATGCCCTTCACATTCGTTTCCCTGTCCCCTTCCTATCTTGATCCACAATTATGAATACCAATACCTTGTAGATTCCGCACAGACAAAAAAAAATAAGCAGGCCCCATGTCTGAAGATCTCAGAGGACTGCTGTTTTAAGCCAATGATCGGAATGCACCTCTAAGGGCCTGTCTTATTGTCTTGTCGACAGTCGCTGTTTAATTAACCGACAGACATCTCTTGGCTGGGCTCCCGTGGCGTGATGTACGGGCTGCCTGGCATGCCAGGCATTCCCAGGATGCCTCTGAGGGCATTTTCCCACGGTGCTGCCGTCAGTCCTTATTGGCAGAATACTAAATGACATGCTAATGAGACAGACAGGTTTTGATCGTTCATTGCTGTGGGGGGGGGGTTGTAATCCCTGGAGCGAATCAATCGAAGAGTCTTTAGTCTTATTGAGAGTTAGATTTGGAAGTTCATGGAAAGGGGGTCGAAGATAACACTTTGATTGTTTTCACAGCCTCTGGGAAAGAAAATTAAAAAACCATTAGTGCGATGGAGGCTTTCGTGAAGACAGAAATGTGAAGAATCTGTACAATGAGTAAACACAGACACAAGGCAGTCTAATTTATAATAATTAAAATTTGGAGCATTCAGCAGAAGTAGGTTGCATTGACAGAATGGCAAACATGTTTGTGCATGCAGACAGCTGTGTGATTTTGACTGTTGTCAATTTGAGAATTTTTACTTCTTGTACCAGTAATCCTACAGCTAGCTCATCTGTCCCTTGCCATCATTCCGCAGTGGTCTGTAGTTGTCACACAATGTCTTGTTTCATGGTGGGGGGGGTTTCCAGTCCCTGAGCCAGCCAACTATTGAAGCCGAAATGAGTCCCCTGTTTCAACTTGTTATGGCCCCATAAACATTTGGCTGCTAATTGAATACAACTCCCCCTTCTTTTTAGCCTCTGCTTACTCCCACAAGGGGCTCTTATGAAAGCAGAAACTTGGCAACTATTTACAGAGGAAAAAAAGCTCAGCACAAAAGATAGTTGCTGTTACACCTTAAAACACCTTCCGAGTCGAATATAACACAGTTAGACACATAATTCACAGCATAGGGATGTTTGGTCGGGAGCCTTCCTCTTGACTGAGCAGGGCCCAGCTTTGATTGACAAGGTGTGTTGCAGTATACCGCAACAAAAATAACTTAAATACATAACTATATCAAAGCATTTAGAAGGCGTACGGTATCTTTAATTCAAAGGTGCTGAATATAATCAGTATCCCTGCCCAGTGGGCTCACAAAATATGAACATAATTAAAATCTCAGCCCAATGCTGTCATATCAGGCGCAAACGGTTGAACGTAAAGATCATGCCTGCCCTCACAGGTACCCATTTACTCCTGGATGGAGAGAGGCACATGGGGGGTAAAGTGTCTCCATCAGCGTTGCGTCTGTCAAGGCATCCTTAACTTCCCTTCTCGTAATCATCCCTGTCCCTGTCACCATCTTCCTCTTTGCCTTGGAGCCCTTAATTGCCGCTCATCTGCTTCTCTCCATACCCCCTCCCCCACTCCCTCCCCCCCCCTTCGAGCATATGAAATTCCCTACATTCTGCCAACAGACTGAAGTTTCTTCCTTTGAAGACAAAATTCTCCAAACATGTTTGTCTTGTCTGTTGTGCCCGATCATTGGTGACTAAAATGGAGGTTCTGACAAGTTGAGTTTAATCGTGTTCCCATTTGCCATGTGATTGGCTGAGGCACCGTGTTGCTGATTATGTCGGTCAAATTGTTCCCTCTGTGTAACGTTGGTAGTGTGCAGATCACTTCTTTACTGTTTCCCATAGACCCCAGTCTGTGATTAAGGGCATCTCAATTTCAGATGTTGAAGGAAAATGAGGAAGTGTGTTTTGAGGAAAACCCACAGGATGTAGGGACTGACAAAATCCAATAGACGTAAAACATACGACGTCACGCTTTGTTTACATGTGCGCTTTCCTATAGGAGCTTGATGGCACGCATCCGCCTCACTGTCGTAGGAAAGGAGACATGCAAACAAAGCATGGTGTCATTATGTTACAGGTTTATTGATGTGATGGACCCAATGGCAAATCAAACTAGGGTCTCCAGAGGTCAAAGGTGAAGAAAGTACTACGCCAACCTGCCCATTGCACCGGTACTTGTAAACCAAGTATTTACATGTAGGTTATAAATGCTTGTTGAGTAATTCACATTGTGCAAGATACATGTATTGCAAAAGTTGTTATAAAGCAAGAAATGGGATCCAAGACCATTTGGATCCCATCATTATTTGTTTCATGCTTTATGTCAGAAATCAACCCATTGCTCCTGTCAATCCACTTCACCCCGCTCTTCCTGAAACTTGAAAGGTCTCCCTCTGGTGTCTTCCTTGAGGGTTTGTGAGAATGAGGTCCTTGTGAGAACAATCGGCACCTGTTGCTAGGAAAAGCCTTTGAAAACCAGAGAAGGGGTGTCTATAATGTGACAGTTCTATACACTTTGGGGGGGGACTTTGTCTGGATTTATTTTATAGCGTGTTCCTTGGATATGATGGTCTGGTGGAGAAATAATCATGTGTCGTCATTGTGCTGACTTCTTGTTTCTTTCTGGGGAGGACTGTCTGTTTCATAACTTGATAAAAACGACAAAAGTCAACTTTGTGGACAAGTTATGAAAACCTAACTGCTGGCGTATTATTATTGGGTTTTTTTTAGGGGGGATGGTGTTACCATGAACATTGTCTTGAAATTCTTTCATGAACAAAAGACATTCCTCCAAGCTTTCGTTTGACTTTGATGAGTTCCCGTGGATGAATTGTCAGTGAGCATGGCTATGGTATCAGAACAGCAATGGAAAACAGAATTAAAGCATTTCGCATGATGAAGTTCGGCTGCCTTGGGCCCAAAAGGAATCTAAAGCTGTCACGCTTTTGGAATGATTGCCACATTGATTGCTTCCTTGGATGGCCCTGATCTGAAAAATACAAGCGCACGAATGTTTACGTTTTTGTGAGAGCTGCGTAGGCAAGGAAATTCTCTCGCATTTAAAAAAAAGAAAGAAAAGAAAGCGCTTCGGCTCTGGCAAGATAGAGGTGACTACTAACAACACTCCGCTTTGCTTGAGGGAAGCGGTGCCTGCTATGACACTAGGTCAGTACACAACAAATTCACCCTTTGTATTAGTTTTTGTAATAGTTTCTAACTGAAAAAGGTCAAGATTTGGAAACCTGACAGTTGCGTCAAGGCAACGTGGAAGTACAAATTTTGAGGAGAATCTAAATGTTCATGAACAAGGAATTGTTTCACCGTGTGTCACTGTCTAACGTTGCACACCAAAACAAGGCCAAAGAGAACTGCATTGTAATCTCTTCATTAACTCTTTGGTAGCTATGCTAATAACTTGCATATGAAAACAGTTAGCTGGTTAGGAATACATGTGCATGACTAACACGTTGACTAGTCATTCTTTTCTCGTTTAATCCATTCATTGCCTATTAATCTGAAGGGGGGACAAACACACACCAAACAAACTTCATTTACTAATTCTGCTGTGGAGCTACTGCTGAGCTACTCTCTCAAAATCACTTCATGTTCAAAATCACTTTCATAAAGGTACATGTAGATGTATTTTCTTCCAAATAAAAAAACAAACAAACAAACAGATCTCCTCAAAAAACAGTTTGAAATTTGTTTTGTCGTAGGAGCCGGAACCAGTTCAGCAGTTTTCAGGACGAAGGGGTCAGGATAACCAGGCTAACACCACAGCGACCTTCACAGCTCGGCCTGGCCGGCTGGGTTCAGCATCAACCGATACCACCAGTACCTCAGTGCGCACAGCTAGACTCCCATCACATGGTCAGTTTCCCCTTTTGTAGTTAATTTTTCATTTCAGTTCACACACGCATGGTTCAGTTGATAATTTATTTTGTAATGCATGGTGAGATTTGCTATCTGCTCTTTCAGCAGACAGGGAATTGAGCAAAAGTTGCCAGCATCAATTCTACACTGTACACTTAGGAATCTTTTATGAAAGAACGGCAAAGTAAGAGTGGGGTTTGGGGTGAAAATTATCTCTTGATAGTACTGTTCCCAAGAGTCCACAAGATTAGCTTTGTCTTTGATGTATCTTACAATATAAAACTAGTTCTTCAGCCCTAGAGATGTACTTAGAACTTACGCTCCTTAGAGTTACAGAAACTCTCGAGCTTGAGAGAATATTCAGTTAACTGCAGTTTGTTTAATGAATGTTAACCCAGACTGCACGTGTCCTCATACAAGTGACGTATTTGAACCTGATGCATAAATCTAATTAGCTGAGACACATCATTCCCATGTTGGCCGAGTTCATTTTTGACATGACCTGGTGAGAAGGGAAGGTGCCGTTTTAACCGGTGCCCTACTTTTATCCGTCCAAATCCAGGCACTGATGAAGCCAAGGAGAAAGAGCGACGAGAGAGTGCCCGGAAAGACCACGAGCAGGAGCGTCTGCGGAAAGAGCGGGAGAAGGAGAAGGAGCGGGAGAAGGAGAAAGAGAAGGACGACGACGACAAGTCGCCCAAGAAGCACAGCACCATCTCGAGACGTCGGCCCCGTGAACGGCGACGTGCCACTGGGGTCATTTACATCGATGAAGAGGTACGTGCTTCAAGTAACAGTAGCTCTGGTCTCTTCACTAGAGTGCTAACTCTCTGGGGTATAGTTGTAAAGAATACCATCATGTAATCTATTTTCTCAGAGTGAATACATCCTGTCTCCCCTACTACAAAATATCTGTTGTCTTTTCACGTACGTGTGTGAAATAAGCTAATTTCTGGATTTGGCATTGATTTATAACACTTGCGAGATGCCATAGTAAGGACATCCATTTGAAAGTTTGATATCAGTACAGCAGTGTTGTAGTTGAGTACATTTTGAGTACCAAGTTGTTTGCGAAGTATTTAACTAGTTAGGAGGGAACAAAGCTGGAATACATGGGCATTGATGGTAAATGCGCAAAGGTAAGATTACAAAGTAAAATGATGACTTGAGACTACCGCAGTTTAATAAAAAATTCAGTTTTGGGACAAAAGTACTTGAAAAGCTGAGTACTTTCCAAGTACATGTACTTTTCTCTTTAAAACTTAAATTTTACAAAACTTGGAGTTTCTGAAGTCTTCCGTTTAGTTTGTAATCTTACGTTTGTGCATTTACCATCAATGCCCATGTACTCCAGCTTCATTCCCACTTACCCATTTTAGTATTTGGCAGAGAACCTTGGCACTACGCCAAGCACTCGACTACAACACCGCAGTGCAATGTTGGCAACCACATACTGGAAGCTCTTTTGTGAAGCGGTGAAATTTCAAGGGTATCTTTGGATCCACTTTTATAAACTCGTGACGTGATGGCGTTCAGATTTCTGTGAGCATAAGGGAAAGTGGCAAGGCACAGCTAACCAAGTGGCAGCTCCTCCTGCAGATCGGTGCAGTGGGTCCCTGCTCACTATGCTTTCTGTATCATCTCTGACAACTTGATTGTCGCGAGATAGTGATAACATGCATTAGTTAATGGTGGTTAGCTCTTTTTACTCTTAAACCTCGGAGCAATAGCAGTGACCCTATTTAGCAAGCAGGAATAACTTTTAAGCATTTTTTCCTCTGTCATTAATCTAATGGCATGAAAATCATGCAAGATTCCATCACTCATTGAAATACATTGCCTGTAGGGCTGAGTAATTTCGAATAATTCACTCTTCTAGTATTCGGCCTTCAATTTGATGGAATATCCGAATATTCAGTCGCACCAACTGGCAGATTGTTGATGAACAAACCATATACAAAATCAGTTGCAATAGCACACAGTTGTACATTATGATCAATGTAATAGCTTCTCACATCTAGGAGTACCTCCAGCCACGATTTATCAAGATTGAAGAGATGAACAAGACTTCTTGCCCTGTCAAAAATTTATATTCCTTTCGAATTGTTAAATAAATAATTTAGTTTTTAAATTGTTGTAAGGTTTCTGACGCTTTTCATTTGAATCTGCTCAAAACAAGCCTCCTTTGTGCAATTTTTCTCATTTATTCCAATAAAAGAAAATTTTCCCTTTCTTTTCATGAATTTTGCATTCGAATATTTACATTCAAAAGTAATATTGGAATATTGGACAATTGATCGAATATTCGGTTATTGAGATATTCAGCCACAGCCCTAATTGCCCGGTTACACTGGTTGAAATTCACATTAACAGAAGTTTGTAGGACCAAATGTACCCGCATTTATGCTGGAATATCTGGGGTTTTCTTCCAAGGAAAAAGTCTTGTGCCTTTTATCTGGTTTGTAAGTGACTTCGTCATACAAGTAGACACGCCACGATTTGCAGGCTCCCATTGGACAATCGCTGAACTTGCGAGTTAACTTGCAGTTCCAGGGTTCCATGCAAATGGCGATCAACGCATGTAACTCTATGTGCAGTGCATGTCCAGTGGGCATGGTTTAAACTGACGTGACATCACACTTACGAACCGGATATTTCGATGTCTTGAGCAAGCAGTTTGATTAAATAGCATTGTTCAGCTTATCAGACCAAAATGAAGACAGTCTGGGAGACATGTAATGACTAATGCATCACTTAATTGGTATACATCCAGTAACATTCCTTGAAATAGCACAATAGTGGTGAAGTATGGTGAAATCACAATAAAGATGAATTGAAAAATGTTGTTATCTTTTTTACGTCTGTTCATTAATACATCCTCTGTAATATTTCTAGCTGCTTTTAAATAAAATCTTCAAACTGAGAGAAACTTGTCTGTGTCCCGGATCTTTCTTATTGAGTGATTAACATTTCCCCCTCCTTCAATACACTTACATTTCAGGCGAACCTCTACAGCGAGTAGTTGTATGGTTCTGTTTTCCTTTCTTTCCATTGCCTGTAGATTTTCATTTCCAGCACCATGCGCCGTAGCTGACCTAGAATGTGTGTGGTAGATCATTTTTGTTTTTGCAAAACCTATAAAGCCGCATTGCATGCACGATGCTGTTCAGGTGGACCAGTTAAACATCAAATTCAGTCAGATATATTTACATACTTTTTCATTTCATTTCATACTTTAATTAACTTCCCTCATTAAGTGCATACTTTGGAGGTATTATCTCTCTGTGCATTTAAAGGGTCAGTTTGTTCTCTTACATTTGAAGAATTCTAAAGAAAATGTCGCCCAATACATCGAGAAAAAACACCCATTTCTTTTTTTTCTTGTAATTTTTGTCTAATTTTGAGATATGTTTTTTGCTTAGAACGAAGACGAATCAGAGGACTCACAAGTAGAAGATAAAGATAAACTTTCTGAAAAGGTAAGGCAGAGCATTCACTATTTACATTTTATAGGAACTTAAGAAATCTTTTTGATGCCAAGTTTCAACAAAATGAAAACCATGAAGAGTGCATTACAAGGCATCAGATATCCAATAACCAATACTTGCCCTGTTACTTTGTTATGGCGCCCTCTGTTGACAGGCATATATGTATTTATATCTTATCAGAAGTGAATCCTAAAGTTTGAAAGAGCATTGCATCTGCTTGAGTGTTGGAAAGACAGATGCTTTTTGAAACAGTTGATAAGGGACTGTTCTGGACATTCTACCTTGTGTTTCTTGGGCTGGAAATGTGTCAAAGATGTTTTACTGATAACTTTATCGTGGGTTTGTTGCAGACAGAAACTTGAAGTGTGGTACACTTGCTCACAGACTTTAGTTCTGAGAACTATGTTGACAACTTGCACCTTCCCCGGAAAAAAACCCTGGTTTTAAACGTTACCGGTACTTTACACGTTAGCAGCTGGGAAAGCCTGGCTTACTGTTGTCATAGCAACTGTGATGTCAGCTTCTGGCGGTATCCAGGGTATTTGTATGCAGTTGCCCATGACAAATGGCATCTTACTTCTGTGTGGCATGTAATGATAGTATTCGCTCTTAGCTTCAAAATATCGTTGAAGGGGCTGAGGTTGTTGGACCGTGTGAGGCAGGTGTATGTAAATGAAGAATGTTTACATGTCTTTGCATGGCGGTGTCCCATTTAGTTTAATGAAGAAACTTATTTCATCTATGAACACAATATCCCTTTGGAACAGAGAAGTGAAACCTTTCCTTTACAATGTTTCCTCTGGCAAATTTTGCTACAAATCATGTACGCAAATCTTGTGCTGTCTTAATAAAACTTAACGCTTGGTCCAGCCGCGTGTGGCTTCGGCATACAAAAATTGTATGTCATGATAATGTGTTATTCGTTTCATATGAAGATTTTATTGTTTAAAGTTATTGTAAAAAGTTATGTTTTGCCTATTTGATTTTTAATGATAGTGAGTTTTCAATTTCAAAACCACTGCCATGAAAACTTAGTACAGTATACTTACAGATTTGCATAGATTTTCATTGACGTTCACTATCCATTTTGGTCCAGGTGATTCTAGACAGAGATTTTGCTGTGAAGGGAATATAGAAGTATCATTTAAGTGGTGCAATACGTTTTATAGATGTTTTGCCTTCTGCTTTCAGTTTCTTTATTGAGATTACTAACAATGCTTAGTTTGTTTTATGAATTGGATCATGACATATGTGATGCAATCTGCAAAAACCCTTCACATGGTGAGCTTTGTCTTTTAGGCGCGTATAAACTTTCAATTAATATGGACATGCTCTTGTTTTTAGAAACATTACATTTTTGATTCTAGGTTGTCTACAACATGAATCTAAGTTGTCTAGAATCACAAATTAAACAGTTTTGAAAACAGGGTAGTGTCCAGATCAATTTGAAGTTGATACATCTGTGAGCCAAAATTAAAAAAGGGGGAAAAATGGAGGGCTCACACATTAGCATGTTCCCCTCCCATAAAACCCTTGTCAGCAGGTCACATATTTGTTGCTTTTTGTGGATGCTTTCTCATTTGGAGTAATCATTTGGCATCTTTTGAGACTTTTGATTCACTTAGGTCAAGCAACAATTTTTTGAACACATCTGGCCTGTTCCCAGTCTGTGAATTTTTTTCCAGTGAATGAATGCCTATGTATACACTCTGTACAAGGCCATGTGCTCCAAAATACCCCCCCCCCATGGTTAAGGCAGAGAGTGTATTCATATGCTAATGCTGCACTTCACTGCTGCAAGACCCCGGGGTTAGACATCAGCATATGACGTCAGAAGACAAATATAGCTTGGATTTGTTCGGAATTGTTCCTGCGGCATGTGCACAGCTTGGAATAGCATAGCAACTCTCAACAAGATAGAGCTTTTACCGTACGTACAGTACATTGATTGTACTTGTGCATGGAAGTAGAAATGATAGGTGTACCATGTTGGCGTTGCCTAGGGAGAACTATGTGTCCGATGTAGATCATTATTCTTGTGGATTCACGGCTTGGGTCTCAGTCTGTCCATGTCATGCAACAGTGACACCAGCAGTTGTCTGCCACTGCGGTTTTCTAATTGATAAGTCTCTTGCTGATAGTTAGTAACCCAATTAAGGAACCTGGTTTTGTCTTTCATAAGTGGATGTTAGTCCGGCCGGCCATACCAGAGCTTGTTGTCACTGCCGAGGAGCACGCCATCACTTGTGTTGTTTGTTCACCAGTGCAAGAACCATTGATATACAGATTGACCTCTTTTTTTTTCAGAGCCTATAAATGCTGGGAAGTTAAACTCTGGCTCTCAGGAGTCTGTCTAAAGATGTTTTTCCGTATAGTTTTTCTCGGCTAGTTCACGTATTGGGAAAAAAATTGGTTGAAGGTGGAAAAGTTGGGCAGTTGATTCCACGTGGTAAATATTCAGTGGAGTATTAAAGACCGGAATGAGCTGGAGTGGATGTCGCATTTGAGTAACAGTCTGGCTGTTCTTGTTATCGGCTGTGTTGAGGATTACACCGGTATCTGTTGCGATAGTCGACCCCGAGTGCAACCATTGGAAGAATGCTAGGAATGCCCTCCGGTTAGCAACTGCTTCACAGGCTGGCCATAGACTGGACGAAAGGGGGCGAGAGATGAGATGAGAGAAAGAAAAAACCCTCTTGATGAAGCTTTATGAATCTAAGATGTAAATGAATGAACTGTCTTTTGAAAAATGACCTATGACCTGGATTGGATAACCGCCTCATCTTGATCAACACCATGGACTAACTTGGATTAACAGCCTTGGATAATCCAGTCAAGCCAGCTTAATTTTGCCGTCCTCATTCCACTTGCGGTTTAAGCAGCGAGTTCTGAAAATAGTTTCTCTTCTGTGAAGAGAAGGACATTAACTCAAAAGGACGAATATGTCTTACGGATCCTATGGACGTTACGGCAGCGGAAGTCCGTATTCTTCCTCCTCGTCCAGCCCCTACTCAAGTTCTCGGTATGGGGGTTCTGGAAGCAGTCGATTGGGGTCAACCGGGTCAGGCACAGGAGGCTACAGCAGTGTAAGAAGGATTCATACTCGTACTTGTTGATGTTTTTTAATTCCAAACTTCAGCATTCGTGCACAGAAAATCATTGACTTTTTGTACATGTACTTTACCTCTTTCTTTCTTTCTTTTTTTTTCATTTCTGGTTTACTTGAGATCCATTGCCTAAGCGCTACTCGGGGAGTGTAAAGGCCAGTTCATGCTTCAGATGAATGATAAAGCAATGCAAATTTAACCTCATCAAATGGTTTGGCAGCAAATGTCGCTTGAGTTAAAATGTGTTCAGCCATCATGAGCTTGCATGTTGACTGTTTGATCTGATGTCACAATGTCCCATTTGTGTTTGCTTTATATTGGGAAGCGGCCCTGAACGTTGAATTCTTTGTTTCATATAAGTGACAATTGAAATGGATGCTTTGTACAGAGAAAGTTACCCACCTTATGGCAAAAGGCAAATGGCGTTGCAGGCAAAAGTGCGTAGTGCAGAGTTGCAGCCCACCATTGAGCAAAGGAATGGGCCATAGTGTTGTGGATTCTGTGGTTTGGGTCTTAATTGCTACACCACCCTCAAGCAAACTATGGTGGTACACAGTACACCTGTGTATGCAATTGTCAATGCCATGAAAGCAGCCCAATAGTGGTTGGGGTAACAGGATGTATACTTTGAAAATTGGAAAATTAGAAAGACCCATTCAAGCTTTTTTTTTCTTTGAGCCAATATTGCACGTACACGACCCATATGACATACGTGCTGTCGTGTTCTTTATTCATGTGTGATGTGCATTCTGTGGAGCACTTGACGTGCAGCAAGAGCGCTATCAGAACCTGAAGAAGAAGTCGTGTTTTGCCCGCCATGAACTTAACGGCACTTTCTTTACATTGGAGGTGTGATGTCAGCAACACTGACACAGAATCAAAGAAGCACAAAAACACTTTGCAGCGAACAGTAGATCCTCCATTGAGCAAGAAAAATCGGTCAGCTGTGGGCTCAGCCAATCAGCATCAAGGATTTCTTCTGCTTAAAGATGCTACATATAGGCATTCCATCCCGTCTCTACAGGAAATAATGTGACTTTATTGCACATACTCTGATGTTTAGTTCATGTACAGGTTCATGCAGTAGGGACAGGGATACCAATTTTGGGAAACCATTTTTTTTGTGTGTGTGTGGATGATCCTGTTCATTCAAAGTTTCCATTGTTATTTTTGTAAGTGGTTTTCATTTCCAAGGTATTTACCATTACCGAGGGCTGTTTCTCTGTTTTTGGTGTTGTTTCGTACTGTTCATGTGATGGCCCGGAAAGAAGCTGGATGTTTTGAAAAATAAGGCATTCAGTGACATTCAGCCAGAGTTTATCTCTTTACATATTTTCATTACATGGAAAACGTATTAGAAATTACATATTTTAGAATGCGGAATTTGTTTTGTTAGGGGGAGGGTGAAACCTGCAGGTGATTGGTTGCTTTTGCTGCCTAAATTAACATTTTCATAAAGGAAACTGAATGGTAAAATTCATGTCTGGCAAGGAGTGATTGAGTACTTGTTAATGAGGCTTGGAATTCATGACCAAGTCTAGGGCGCAAAGCAAACATTCACAATAAAATGTAGAAATGTATGCTCAATTCTCGCAGGCTCATAGCAACGTGGCAGTGTTGACAGCCATCTTTGTTTGCCCTTGCTGGAAAAAATGTTTACCTGCCGAATGGCCTGCGCGCTTCAAACCCGGTCCTTGCTATTCAGATAGCATTGATCAGGAAAGTCATAATGGTGTAGCCAGGCCTATTCATCTGTTGCACAAATGGGCGCGATAAGAGAGCCCATCGCTGTTTACTCACCCCTCGGTCCTCTCCATAGTGCTTCTGTGATTTGCTGACTTATGACAGTGTTGAGGTTTGGATTGTTTATCTGGTTGGGATCAT